TGGCCTCAAACTCCCAAGTATCTAGGATTACAGGCACCTGGCTTGTACTGACGTTTTACTCTTCCACTTCTAGTTCTTCATTATTCTCTACTGGTGAATAACTCTGGAGATATTTATTAGCCTATGGGTCAAGCCACCATATACCCTCCCAGATGTTATGCCGATAAGGAGTTGGGAGCTTGGAGAGGTAAAGGAACTTAAGGCAAAACATTGTTCCATGGTGGACAGGATCATCTCATCCAGTCCTGGCATGATATTAAAGCTTGTGCTCATTCTCTACAGGATCAGACACAGTAGTGAGGCAGGAGCTACAAGCTGCCAGGTTTGTAAAAAGCTCTTGAGTACTCCAAGGATCTGGGGGAAGGAGTCCAGACCAACAGAAGCTGAAAAGCCTATAGGAAAAAAGGAGACCTAAGTACACTTGTAAAAGATGAGGAGCAACCACAAAGTCAGAGAGAAATGACAAAGGGATCAAGAGAGAGAACCACATGGGCTACTGTCAAAGGAAGTTCACATTAGGATACTAGATAAAAATGATGAAAATGGTGTGGCTATCATCTGAATGCCAAATGGAGGAATCTGGACTTTATAGACTGTAGGATGTGCGTGTGTGGGTGTGTAGGGGGGTGGATAGATGCTAAACATGGGACAATGAGAAAAATCTATTTCAGAAAGATGAATGAGTATGGGTAACAGGACAGGTGGCCTAGGAGGAAGAAGACCCATGTAATAGGAAGGCAGATGGGAAACCAGAAGGTAAGTTTCTGCGCTGGTAAGTGCAGGATTAGGAAAACAAAGTCTAAGCCATTTCAAGGCTTTAGTAGCCATTTCTAAAGCATGAATGTGCCAACTTCAAGCACAGAATTGGTCTTTCCTAATGCAATTACTTCTGTGTCTGGGTTCCCACATCTGGGACCGTGCACATCTCAAAGGCATGGCTTAACTGGTCTTTTGAAGAAATCAGGCATGCTACCATCCTATCTTAACTAAGAGGACACAGGCAATAGGGTAAGGAGGGGCAGCTGGACAGCCAAACTTCTTGTAGTCATTTCTGTGTTCCACCATGTTCTCTTGTGTGACAATAGGCAGTCTGTTTAATTATTGACTTGGAGTCCTCATGGAGTTGCCGTGAGAATGAAATGGGTAAATTCACATAATGTACGCAGGACAACATCTAACATATGGAAATTACAAATGAATGTTACCTGTTGCTATTCTTCTTTAAACATTTTGGAAAGTTAGTAAGAGTTTTTATTCTATGTTCCAGAATAAAATTAGAAACTGCAACTCTGTAATGACAAATCTCAAATTCTTAAATTAACTTCAAATAGTTATAATCAATTTAATTTTGCAACAGCCAGTCACTGTTAAGGCAGGCATTGACACAATATAAACCCAACAAATATTAAGTGATGAGCTGACATTGGATGCTTTTAGATTGAACTATAAGAATGCATGTACTTTGTTTTAGAAAATCCATTCTAAAGCTATGTGAATCTGTGTTTTCTTTTATCTAGCTGCACAGAATCACTCCGATTTTCCCTGAAAACCTCACATACTTTTCCATCTCTGTGGCCTCAGTCCCTGCTCCCCTTGCTGGGATGTTCCTTCTCATTGCTCTGATTTACTCTGAGACCCTCTTCTAGGCCCATATGAAATACTTCCTTATGTAGCTGCAGCTGATTTCTCACCACCTCCATGCAACTAGGAACATATTTCAAACAGTGTTTCCACTATGGTCCTCACACAGGTAAATAACTATGGTACAGAGTTACATACTTGGGCTCATACCTTCTCACTCTTTGTGTCCCAGGGGCCAAGCACAAGCTGTCACTGAACTGCACTGCAAAAGTCTGCCTTTAGAAAAGGATTACTCACATGGTAACTTGAATCTCAACTTCCATTAATGTCCCTAATCAAGAATATGCATGCCATTTTGTGAAGTACATCTTCCTTTTACTCTACTTTGAGGGAAAGAGCCTCCAAAGAGACATTAAATTCAATTTTTCCAATACAGTAGAAACTCAAGATTGCAACATCAAGTCTTACAACATCTCCAAGCTTCTAGCTCACACTATGGAATTTGGACTTGCCAGCCCCCAGAATAACATGAGCCAATTCCTTCAATTTCTCTCTCTCCAGTGTGTAAGTATGTGTGCATATGTGTGTGTTTCTGGGGAATCCTAAACAATACAGAAGTGTAGGAGGAATCATCTGTTTTCTCTGGATCCAACCTTTCTATTCTCACTTTACAAGTCAGTCCTTCTAAACAGCCTCTGTTATCTTTGCGACCCTACCATCAGCATTTCTATCTCTAGCAAACCTCAGAGACCAACAGAAACCAACTCTTATACAAAAGACTTAGATATCCATTGATATTGTGGAGACAAAGTCTACAACCCCACCTCACCCCCAAACAAAAACAAAACCACAACCTTCTCATCACTCCCTCTGCGTGGGGGGGACAGACATGGTCATGGATGTTTAATTTGACCTCTTTGGCCTCCAGTTCCCCAGTAGGAAAAAATGAGAATGTGAAACAAGACCACGTTTTAACAAATTTATATTTCTCCACATTGCTCTCACTACATTTTGGGAAAAATGAGGTAGCTAAGTTAGTAAGAGGATTGTAACCAAAGCTGGAAGTACAGTCATCAAATTCAATTCAGTTACAGCCTTGACTAGCATTAAAAAAACTTAATATAATGGGTTGAACTCTATGACCAAAACTACTAGAAAATTCTGTCATATCTGATAAAGGAAAATATCACATCATATAAGATACTTAACAAAAACCAGTAACAACAGAGTTTGGTGTGCACAATAATCTACTATTCAAAATGTTTTCAATCACACAATTTTAGAACTGGAAGCAGGCAGATTATTCCACCTAGTCCTACTAACTTATAATCATAGTATACAGTTACTGAGAGCCATACACAGTCCCGTTTATGGCAGAACCAATGTCAAAAGCCATTTGTTTTTTAACCTGAAACTTGGCAACTAGGTTTAAAAGACAATTACCCAACAAATAGGTAAACTAATACTGAAATGTGGTCTCTCTAAATATCCAGATCCCTCACATTCTTGTCAACTAATTTTGTAGAAGGCTGGGTAGCATTAAGATTTAATTTCTCATTTTAATTTAGGAATATATGTCATACTCTCCAGCATAACTAGGTCTGGATTCCTTGCCCAAACCAGCAGTTACATGTGTTCTATACTTTGATACTTCTTGTCTGTTGCAGGCAATGACTTCCCTACCCAGGGAATCTACAAATCTACAGTTCAGATGTTTACATCCAGAAAACCTATCTTTTCAGAAGCAAAAGTTTTTCTCTTTTAAGAGATGTATAATAACCAAAAGAGCACTAATTCTCCTGAACACCTTCATAGTCACACAAGGTGATGCTCAAACACATTATCACAGCCTCCATGTACAGATGATGGCCTGTTGCCTTCTAGGCATCGAGCTCTGTCACCTCATTTACTTCTCATAGTAACCCCACAGCAGCATGATCACTTCCTTTGTATAGACTAGGAAACAGACTCACATTAAATAAATTCACCAAATTCACAGCTATTAAATCACAGAACAGCATCTTGAATGTTTATTGTTTTCTGATTATGCTATGATGCCTAAAAAGCCTTCTGGAAGCCCTCTCATGCATCTGACCTGTATCAACCATTCTCTTACTGTTCCTTATCCTAAACTAAGTACAAAGGTTCACCATCAAGTCACTAGGAATGTGACTTGATTTTATTTCTAAGTGATTTTTCTTAAAAGTTTGTTCATAGTGCCATTTTTCTTAAATCTACTCTGTGAAACCTTAATTAGTTGCTATTGACATCAATTATGTTAACTGAATCACGAAGAGATGCCAAGTGGTTGAGTTCAGGCTAGGCGTCAGATTCTAAAGTTCTTGTCACAGTTCTAGTTTCCAAAGGGCAAAGCAATTTATCTTTCTAAAAATAGAGACAAAAAATGCCAATGGGCAGGGGATTCCTTATAGGGAAGGAATACATCTAATCTAAAACTGGATTATGACAATGGCTGCACAATTCTGTGAATATGTTAAACCACTAAATTGTAGACTTCAAACGGGCAGATCTTATGCTATGTGAATTATCTCAATAAAGACTTTTAAAAAGGGGACATGAGAGATCTGATTGTTCAAGTTTCAATTACCCAAGTAGAAACTAACGAGTAAAGAAAGATTAATTTTAACATTTCATGCATTTACCCCAAAGGTCAATTTGCTTAATCCCTATGATTATTACAGTATAAAATGACAAAAGTAAATGAAGTACATAAAAGATCAAAGATGTACATAAAAAATCAGGCTCACATGACACAGGCTGAAAGCTAAGATCACTTTTTAGAAATCCATTCAATGTTCAGAACAAAGTTACAAATACATTTTAAAAATTCCTCTATCAGGGAGGTATGAAGATAGGTAAGACACCCAAAAAACTAGATAGCATTTGCAGATACTTTAAAGCGACAGAGGCCAATAGGAGAAGGGAACCAGGAACTAGAGAAAAGGTTAGTTCAAGAAGAATTAACCTGGGCTGGGATGTAGCTTGGTGTTACAGCGTTTGCCTAGCATGCATGAGGCCCTGGGTTCGATCCCAGCACCAAAAAAGAAAAGACAAAAAAAAAAAAAAAAAAAAAGAATTAACCTAGAAGGTAACACACATGCACAGGAAATCAATGCGAGTCAACTCCCTGTATAGCTATACTTATCTCAACTAGCAAAAACCCTTGTTCCTTCCTATTATTGCTTATACTCTCTCTTCAACAAAATCAGGATAAGGGCAAAATAGTTTCTGCCTGGTGGCGAGGGGGTGGGGGGATAGGGAGGGGGCGGGGAGGGGTAAGGGAGAAGGTGGGGGGAAGGGAGTAGAAATGACCCAAATATTGTATGCACATATGAATAAAAGAAAAAAAAATAACCAAGAAAAAAAATTCCTCTATCAGTAATATAAGGACCATTTACCTTGTGACAAGGAACCAAGCAATTTTACTGAAGTCTGGAGAGGGCCTCATATATGTCTTAATATGTGGCATGGCATTGCTGCGGCCAGATGTTTCTGCTGACCACTTGCTGGTGACAGGAGAGACACAAATCACTGGTTAGAAAATAATTCAAATTGGTCATAATTTTATTAGGAGACTGCACAAAAAGCAAAATTCTATAATCTAAAAATAACAGGGGTCTTGGGCACAGCACAAGTGTCAGAGAACCTGCTTTGCAGGTATGAAGCTCTGAGTTCAAACTGCAGTACAGCCAGAAAAACCAAACAATAAAAAATAATAGGAACACAGTTTTGTGACCTGTGATAGTTTATTAACTGTTCAGACAACAGAATAACACATAGTCCCTTTACACAGTAAGTATATGAAAAAAAAGAAAATTAACAATGCCCACAAAAATCACCAAACCCTTTTGGCATATAGTCTCTGTCTTTTTTGCCCACCCCCCCATATAGATTATTTCTGTTGTGCTTTGTACACACATGGACTGTGAGCTCCTAAAGATTGGAATCACAGTACTGCTGAGTAGAGGTTCCACGAACGCTTGTTAAGTGAAACAAATACCAAGTGGGCAAAATGCAGTATATCACACAAGTGTTGAAAAGCAAATGGGTAATTCAGAAGTGATGTAGTCTTAGCTTTGAGTTTTGTTTCTAAGTTTCTAACACTATAGGACTAAGGCTCCCTGGGAGTAAGTAGCCTCTCTCATGAGGCCAGGATCTTACTTAGGCAAAGAAGATGACAACCTCTAAAGGTGATGGGGGTTTGCAAGTGCAGAATCAGGGTTAGGAAGACTAACCTCATAGTCACATAAGTGACTTCTGTAATCTAAGACTGAAAGGAGCTCAGTATAAAGAAATGTCCCTACAAGGAATAGCCTCTCCAGAAAGGACTAAAGAAAGGTTCCAGATGACACATGGACTTGCAGCTGAGACCTACTAATGTGTAATCCTCCTTCATTTCTGGCTGCCCAGCACAATAAACACCTAGTGAAGCAAGCATGAAGTGGGGATGGGTCTACAATAAGCAGGATGAGCAGGTGCGGTGGATAGAGGGGAAAAAAACATTCCTTTCCCTTTCCATTCACCAGTTTAGGGTCCTGCATCCACAGGAACAGTGACATAGACTCAGCCCTCAGGAAGCTGAGGCCACATATCCTACCATAGTACAGACATAATGATAATATTTTATACTTTAGGAAAGTGAACTAACATGCTGTTATGTAAATTATAAACTATCCAACATCATCTTTTATTTATCTTGCCAATACTTAAATAGAAACCTCACAGAGATAAATTTTACTCTTTGGTATTAAAAACCTATTCCAAAAAAAATTTCAAAGCCTTTTTAAAAATTATTTCTATCACTAACATATGTAGATGAAAGAATATAGCTATATTATATAATTTTTTTAAAAAGACTGACATAAATAACGTTCTTACTCCTAAAGAAGTAATAGCATTCTGAACCAATTACTTACTGAAAGTAAGAATGAAGCCAATTCTGTTTTTCAGCTGTCTGGATGCCATAGGGAAGAGAGCCCCCAGCTTTTAAAATAAAAATAAAAATAATGAAATATAATTTGAGGCTTCTTCATTAAGAGGAAAATCTATAATTGACAGTGGGAAGGTAAATGAAAAATAATTACTTCCATTATTTTATCTTTAGGAATAGTTCTTTGAAGAGAAACTGTCTGTACTTGTGTTAATGGGATTTCCTTTCTTAGGGAGAGCAAACATCTAAATAAGAAATGTTTACTCTCTGAAAAGAAAAAGGTACTATTTAATCACTTAGTGGTGATAATTTAACTTCTGCAGATTTAAATTATTAGGAAAGAGCACAAAAAGAATCCTGGCCAGTCTTACTATCCTTATGCAGGACGGACATGAGCTAGTTGAAAGGCAGTCCAGGATGAAAACTCAGTCCTCTTTCCTACTTGGCCTCACACTCTGCTATTTGCAAACAAGCTTTGTACTAGCTGAACAGATACTTAGAGAATAGAAGGACTGGAAAATAAATGAAAACATTCAGTAAATAGTTCAGGTTTTTAAAAAAGGAATTCTATAAGCCTTATTCTTGCAAAGAGAATAAAGCACAGTTCCAAATGGAGACACAATTAGAAGGCAATTTTTGTTCATCTTTGAAAGGAAGAAAACTCCACTGTGGATTCATCAGTGACTTTCCAAACACATGTTGGAACTTCTCCACAGTAATCTATATCCGAAGAGGGCTTTAAACAACTCCAATATCCAATAAGGCATGTCCTGTCTCCTACTGCAAATAACTAAAAACATATTCCATTTTCGAACAGTTACAAATAGCATTATTGAAAATACCACATTTTTTTCTATTAAAAGTGCCCTTTGAATGGACCTAGCCTATTAGAAGTACAGAAAAATGACAAGAGAAAAACTACCACTATGCCTCAGAGTCTTAGTGAAATAATTTTAGTTTTGCCATTAAAAATCAACAAATGGACTATACACTCTGAACTTTGTGATTTTTTTCTGACAAGGTTACATCTAATTTGGTAAGGAATAAATGGACTAAATTAGTCTTAATTCTGTTTTTAGGCATCAGCAAATGTCAAACTGCTTTTTCCAGAGCATGTACTCTCTGTGTTTTTAGTTAACACCATTTGACTTCAATTTTTAGGGTGCTGTGAATTCCATATTTAAGTTTAGTGCCCAGTAGACGGATAAAGAAAATGGAGAACAGGCTAACAGATGTTTACAAAATACTATGAGGCAACTTGCAGATGAAGCTTCTGAAAAATAGACATCTCAACTAAGTTTTACCAAAGGTGATATTAATCATAAATTCTAGACCTTAAATGTATCTGTATCAGGGACACAAATTTGGAAGGACTGCTCAATACCTCAGACATAACAGGGAGAATGTAGAGGGGGGAGACCTCTACAAAGAATGCTAACCATATTCTTAACAAGGCATGCAGTCCTATGGGAAGCTGATTTTATTCGGATATTTTGTCTGGACAACCAACCCATTGGTCACCTTATTGGTAAAAATGAGAATAACAATTGCTTGAGGTTACTGTGAGGATGAAATAATATATGCAAACTGCCCAGCTTAGTGGTACCATCTTTGGAACACAGCAGAGCTCCGTATTACCTAGTCTGTGATCCTCATCTGGTTAAGAGAAAACCATCACCACATTCCTCACCAATACTTTCTAGCAAACTTCTAACCAATACTTATAAAAATTTTCCCAGGGCATTTAAACAAAAACCACAACTGAGACCGTTTCCCTCCAAATTACCGGGATATCCTTCTAAACTGGTCCGCACGTTTTCCACAGAAGGGTAGATCTAAAAAAAAGAAAAGGGAAAAACAATGAAACTTGGAGTATGCCATGCTAACAAAAGGAATGATGACCAGCTTTTAAGAATATGGAAATCTCAACTTAAAATACTTGGTTTAAAAAGCTAGAAAATGTGGTTTAAATTTTAAAAAGTTCCCATCTTAGAGAAATAAAAGGAACATCTGGTAATTAAACTACAGGAAGCATGTGTATGTTTTATGAAAAATTACACTTTCATTTGAAATGTTTTTCCTCTGAAAAGCCAAATTAATATTGAATTGAATGTAAAATTAATCATTAATTCACAGGTCTGTAAATAATAGAGTTTATAATTGTGCTGTCAGTATTATACTGATTTTTTTTTCCCCTTGCTTGACAACCTAAAAAAACCACAGGCCAGTATGTGGCTGAAATGAGCCCCCTGAACAAATCAGCAAGCTCTCAGCACTGGATGACATTAATGCCACGCAATTGCAATGACAAAGCTAACTATTGCTCTTTCCATCTTAAAATCACAGAATAAAGCATCTATTACAAGGAGGAGTGCTTCTCAACTCTTCTCCTGGACTAGAGAATGAAAATGAATTAACTCACCAAATGAAAAGGAGCAGCACTTTTCCCTGCAGTTTTCCTTTGCTCTCGCAGTGTCACCAAGCTCTCTTTAAACTCAGAGCACAACCATTTTGAGTCATCAGCCCCCAGCGAGCCAATGCTTGAAAACTGACCCACAATGGGCCAGTACTCAGCTTTGGGTATAGATGAAGCATGCTCTCTCAGGAGCTGTCAGAGAATAAAAACGAATGCTGCAGTCACTCAATGCTAACAACAGTAATGCCACGATACCTAAAAACATGGATTTCTGCCCTGGGAATGCCTAATTTACAAGGAAATGCTGAAAATATTAGCAACCAGTTTCACGCACACATACGTGTTTTTTTTTTTTCTTTAGGAAGTATTTTTTAAATACTAAAAAATATGTAAGTTTTTCAACGTGGTAAGTGGACAGAAGGTTTACTTTCCAAAATTCTTTGGTTTGTACTAAAAACAAAGAGATTAAAAAAAAATTTTTTTGAAGACCCATTTTAGTAGAAATGTCAAGATCAACCATCATCCTGTCATGAATTTCACATTTTGCCTGGAAATCATAATTATTTAATATACCTAAACAATACCTACAGGCTTAACTGATGCATATTTTGGCTCCCCTCACTTGACAGGTGCTTAATGCTCCCACTTTAACACTTGGACTCAGGGCTGGGGGTGTAGCTCAGTGGAAGCCTAGCATGTGAGGCCCTGGGGCAGGGTAGGGGTGGTGGCGGGCCCCACATAGCTGTGTTGGTCTAAATATGAAAGAGAACATATTTTTAGACAGATACCTACCACCTAAAGCACTGCAGATGATTGATCTGCACTTCTCACCTGGAAACTTAGGCAGAGTTGTAGAAATAATTCAGAAGTATTTAGAAATTTTATCCACTCAAACATGTATTGCATACCTACCTAGAGGCTTGAGATCTGCTTCAGTGAAGCTCATATTCCACTGATGTTTTAACTTAATACGTATTATTTTGCTTCCACAGCTTAGGCATTAATATTTATACATACATTTACCAAAAAGCCCAAAGTTCTCAACTTAGTAGGAAACAGAACTCAACTGACAATGCAAGATGTAATTTCTGTTGTAGGGCTCAGTCTGGGGTCAGCTGCACATTCTGGACAAGGCCCTGTGCTCTGATGCACACTTCAGTGTACAAAGGCACCTGGTCATCTGTGGGGCCATGCTGCATGGACAACTGTGTGTCAAAAGTGGTTTGAAAACTCTGCAGATGCCATTCAACTTTCTATAATATGGTGATCACACACAATCTGTGCTTTTACCTCACTGTCTAAACTGGTAGTCCACAACAACTCATGCATATGGAGCACTTCCTATGTGCCTGATCCTCTTTTGCATTCGCTGTGTCATCACAAACATGCAGTCTTTGAGATCTTGCCAGCTTTCAGCTGAGGTCTCATTTCAAAAAGAGGGAATGCAAGGGAAAGTTTCACTAACCAAAGGGGATTCTTACATAACAAACAGGCCAAGCATTACAAACTCCCAAATCTGAAATGCTCCAAATTCAGAATTTTTTTAGAGCACAGATACGATGCCACAGTGGAAAATTCCACACTTAGTCTCATGTCTAAACACAGTCACAATAGAGGCACACTAATAATATTGTCTAAAGTTTTCTTCTGGCTATGTGTAAATGAAACATAAATGAATTTCTTAAACAAGTTCCTTGATCTATACTAAAAACAAATACTAAAAAAATGTAAAGATCCATTTTAGTAGAAATGTCAAGATAAACAACCAATCTGTCATATGAAATCAGAATTTTGTTGGAATCATAATTATTTAATATACCTAAACAATGCTTACAAGTTCAACTGTTGCATATTTTGCTCCCCTCATTTGAAAACAGCTTAGTGTTCCCACTTTAACACTTGGGCTCCAGGGCTAGAGCACAAATGAATTTTGTATATGAAACAAATGAATTCTGTTTAGACTTGAGCCTCATCCCTAAGGTATGTCATTATATGTATGCAAATATTCCACAATCTGAAAAAAGTCAGGAAGATAGAACACAAGTAGTGCTAAGCATTTCAACTAGGGATGATCAACCAATATATAATTTATGAATAAGAGGAAAGCTTTTAATAAAGCCACTTTAAGTAACTTACTAAGTCTGGTCAACTGTGCAAAGAAAGATGAAGAAAACTTTCATCTTCAACTTCTTTATTATCTTGTTAAAAATCTTCTTTGTTCATTTTCATACCAGCAACAAATGTCAATTTATAATCATAGTTTCCTTAACTGCACTGGGCTTGTTAACAAAATACATCATTAGCCTTTACTATTTCTTTTTTCACTTAAGTTGGTTTTTTTTTTTTTCCTGGCAGTCTTGGAGTTTGAACTCAGGACTTTGCACTTACTAAGCAGGCGCTCTACCACTTGAGCCACACCCCCAAGTCCTTTTCACTTCCATGTAGCTGGGATCACAGACTCGCATCACCACATCCAGCTTATTGGTTGAGATGGGATCTCACTAATTTTTTGCCTATGCTGGCCTCAAACCAAAATCTTCTCAATCTCTGCCTCCCAAGTAGCTATGATTACAAGCACACACCACCATGTACGTTAAAAATTCTTGATATGCTAAACAGAAAAAGGTAAAATACTTCTGTGAATGGGAATCCTATAATTATCTTTATTACAAGAAACGTAAAACTCTAAGAGAGAGTCCATATATTTAGGTCATGTAGAACAGTCTACTCTATACCTGTAAGAGGCGAAAAAGGTAACTCAAAGTAATTACTGAAAACTATAATTAGATAACCAATTTAGTGACTACTTACTGTTTTCCCAGAATTGTACTGGAAATACTGTGAAGCTGCCACTACAACATACAATGATAAATGAAAATGGAGAAAGAATATATATTAAGTTTTTATAAAAAGTTGAAACAAAATTTCTGTTACCTTTCTAAGTCTAAAATGTCCCCAATTATCTTTGTGATTCCCTTGAAAGCGTCCTGGGGTTGAACCAATAAGGTAAACACTAAAATGAAATAAAATGCAAGTTATAGAACACAGCGAGCTGCTTTGCTACTGAATAATCACAAAATACACATGAAAATTAATATAATCATGAAATGTTCTAGGGGCTGACCCATTTCTTGTCAGGTCTCCTTAACAGTAGTAATTCTCAAACTCATTTTCAAGCAAACTCACTAAGGATGGAACACCTACAAGGTGCAAGGCAGTGGGTGAAGTCACTGACTTTTAGAGTAGCCCAGTGGAGGCTTAGAAGATCCATCACCATTTTAATGACTGAGAGCCACAAAAGGCAGACAGTGACCAAATCTGCTCTCACCCTCCTCACATCAGGAAGCACAGCCACATACCACATTGCCCTCTTCCAAGGTCCCTGCATTCCACACTCATGTGGCTTGTAAGCTATGAATCCATTCCCGGCATCCCAGATTGATAAATGACACGTACTTTGTTTCAGAGAGATCGTGCTCTTGGATGGTATCTACCCACTCCTGGAGAGCAGGAGCATTATAAGCCTTCAGGTAACTGAGGAGATCAGCTTTGAAGTGTGTTCTTGATTCCCCAGCTTTGTGGGTTCCAGGGTCAATTCGTGGGTACAAGGGGCTCAGCCATACTCTAGAATGGAAATAAAAATAACCTTTAATAGTCAGGAGCACAGCTGATCATAATGATACCTCTGTAGTGATTATGCATTCACCCTGAGGAAGAGGTAAATTCTAACCACGTATATTCACAGGTAACTAGAGTAACCCTTAGGGAATATGAAACAAATATGACCACACCACTCCAATGGTTCACATCACTTTCAGAATTATTTCTGAATTCCTTACCATGAATTTAACATCATGTTTATACCAGTGCAGCTCTTTAGCCAAATGGAAAATTAGAATCAAAGCTATCTAAACTAAAAAAAAAAAGTATGTGCAAGTGTATTTCAATAAATAAACTCATCTTTATAATGACCAGCATATAGTGGTTTGAGATAGTTTCATAACCTATACTTTCAGGTTTCTGGAATGAATATGTACCAGACTTATATTTCTATAAACTGCCACATGGTAGATTATAAAGAAGTATGGCTTCAACCCTCTTGTACCTGAGCAAAGGAGATCAACAGTCCTGCCTCAACAGGATGTTGCAAAGACCTTCAAGAGGCAGTGAGTGAACAGTGGCTGACTTACAGAGACTAACATTAGCTGCCACTACCTTTTCCCCTTTGTAGCTACTTCCCTGCAGTTCTACCCACTAAGCCAAAACAGAAAATGCCCAATTCCTCTTTCATCCAGCCACTCTCAAAGGAGGCTGGTGTGCTACTGGTGTGTCAGCAGCGCAGGAGCCACACAGAAAAAAGCTGACTCCTAGCTGCACATCATAAGGTAGCATTTCACTCACTCTCTTCCCACCTTGGGGAGACCTTCAGTACAAGGAGAACACAGTATGACAAGGGCTGGAGCCAGGCTCTAAATGAGATCTGTTTCTAGCTGGCTTTACCATTTTGGGCAGGCCTGGTAACCTTGGGGCCTTCGCCTCTATGTGCAAAATGACTGGCTAGACTACATAGATGAGTGAGGTCTCCTTACAAGAACACCTTGGGGCCCAGGAGTGAGAAGTTCACTCAGCCATGTCCTGGGGTAAGACCATGACAGAAACTAGGCTGCTGAGATATAAGGGTCTTTTTTTTTTTATTTTAATAAACATTATAGTGGACAAGTGATTTTAACATGAAGCATCAACAGGCAGATGAGCATTAGCTGAGAAGGACACTGGAGCACCTGCACAGCTGAAAGGACCAGAAGTAGTGCGGTTTCAGTACAATTGTACACAAAAGCTGCCTTTACAAGGTTAAAAATCACGACATGCAACTGTGAAGTGTCAGAAAGAGTAGAACACACACGAAGCGGCTGACAGAGGCAAGGTGGAAAGAGAGGTCATATCTTGTGACTATGAATTTTGAGCCATATGAAGCTACTTCCTAGTCAATATATTTTTAAAATTACAATTGTGAAATTTTTAATGAAGAAAAAAAAGCAATTTCCAAGTCCTGATCCCTAATCTCTTCCTCACACAAAGCAATCACTCAAGAAGCACTGTTGTCCGTAAGCTCAAGTTCACAACTTCAGAATTCTGGTGGGATTTGTGGAGCTGCCTGACACTGGGGGCCAACTTGATAATCTCCTTAGATCCATTAATCACTGCTTCTCTAACAACGATCTACCCCAAACCTCATTTCCTGTACCTGGCTTAGAAGCTCTCAGGGCAGCAGAGGCAGAGAGGTCTGTGTGTAAACTCAGTGGAGGAACAGCCCTGGGCTGAGGATTTTAGAGACAGAGTGGAGATCCCTGAACCCTAAACCAGTCAGAATGATGCTGTACTTTGAGAAGCACAGTTTAAGAGGAACACTTGAAAACTAGAGCATATTTACCCTGCATGACATGCAGGTCCAAGTAGGCCTGGAGGGTGACAGCTGGAAGGCTCCGTAGACCACTCCACCTAATGTGTCACTGGGGCTTGGGCAAGGTCAGTCTGAAGTCAGAAGCTCTGACTAAGTTCTAGCCCAGGCTAGGCAGTGCCCTGGGATGGAGTAAGCAGAGGAAGATAACAGCAGAGAACACTAAGACCATGAAACAGTGCTATATAAATGCCTGAGTTTCTCCAACAGAAAAAGCAGTTAACCAGCTCTTCTCTAGGGAAGGTGAAGATGTCCAAAATGGTTGAAATGAAAGAAAGGGAAATAAAAGCTATTCACAATGAAGAGCTTACCAGGGAGGAAAGAAATAGCTGAACTTGATTTGAGCAAATTCCTAAAACCATTTTTTAAAAGCAAACCTGTCTTTTTAAAAGGGATCAAAAACTAAATCTAGCATATGTGCACCGAGAGTAACGGGTGAATGACAAGCAAAGAGTGCAGAAAAACTTTGGAGCTCAGTTCTTCTCTTGGAGATTCACGGTATCAACACAGTGAAAGTGCTACAAAGATACCAGCTTGCAGGTTGTTTGGGGGTGGATACTATTAACATAACCCTGCTCCACTCCAAGTTTTTCTTTGCTATGTTTGGGAAGTGGCAAGCAAGAGTCCAGGAGGGTAGAAGGTTGAGTGGAATGGTTTCTACTCCTAAGACCTACTGGGAACAGGATGGCATAAGGCCTTTCATTGGCCCAGGCTGTTCATTTTATCTTGCTGAAGAATGTGTGTACATGATTTCTGTAAAAACTAGAGAAAAACCACTGTGCAAATATTTATGTATGTTTACATGTATAATAGCAGTAGTTGTAGATTATGCACCAAGTTGCTAACACTGGCTACCATAAGATAGTGCGATGGAGATGGGGGGGCGGGCTGGGAGTGTGACTTGGAGGTGCTACTCTGGCCTAGCATGTATAAGGCCCTGGGTTTAGTCCCTAGCACCACAAGACAAAACAACAACAAAAACCCCCTAACTTTTTCTGCATATGTCTCTTCTCTGTGCCATATATGCATTGCTTGCATAATTTAAAAAATTGAAAAAAAAGAGTAAGGTGAATGTTTTAGCTTTTGATCTTCCTCAGCACAGTGACTGCAATGAAGTACACAGATCTCTACAAACCCTTGAGTTTTCTGGTACCAGTCTTCACGGATGAGGTTGGAGGTGTGGATGACGACTCGGAGGCCTTCTTTATAGAGCAAAAGCATCATTTTCCTTCAAAACAAGAAAGAGAGCAAAAAGGGTTAAAAGAATTTTCAAAATATGTGGTACCTTTCTAATGCAAATACAATAGCTAGAAGAATTCTTAAACCCTTGTATCAGCCAAGCTTTGACCATTCTAATCCCCCCTTCCCCATATTACTATCATGATTCATGGAAGTCTGCTTAGATGACAGATAGAAAATGCTCAGAATATCTGGGGGTAAATGAACCTCTCCTCTTCCTATCTACATGCCCAGTCCTGCCACTCCATCCCACCTGTCTGACCTCTTCTGATTGTTATTGGTTCTCTGTTGCATATCCAACCTGGGTGCTTGCATGTGCTTGGCAAGTGCTCTACCATTGAGCTACATCCCCAGCCTGAGTTTGGCCCTTATTATTTATATGTTTGACATCAATGATGATGATGACAACATATGAACCTTCCTGATCAGGGTTTCCCAAAGTATGGGCACAACCTCTTGCTATGGAATGGCTAGCATGTTTGAAATAGAATAAATCAGATTATGCTTTAATAATCTGATTTATTTTTAAATATTTAAAAAATATTTAAATAAAGTTTTGCTTTACAAAGTCTTCATTGCCCCACCCAGGTATGCCTGTGTGTAGTACACAAAAATGTATTCTTATTTCTTATTGTGGGCTGCAATTTAACAACTTCTACAAGATGCTGCATCCCTATTAGACTGAGTTTTTGCATTCTAGAGATGCCACACTTGTGTGTACCTGGACTTGAGGTAAGTTGGCCCTTTTCTTCCCAGTTAACTCGATCAGACAACTTCTTTAGGCCTGTTATCATCAGGCACATTTTTCCTACTTTATTTCCAGTGAGCAGGAATACGTTGGATATGAGTAAGACAGAGGATACAAGTTAGAGCTTTCCACTTGAAATCTGCAACTTTGAGCTCCAGATACCCTTTACCACATGACTAAGTCAGCTATTAGCCCTGAGTTCAGCTTTTCACTTAGAACTTGAAGGGTCAACCCCTACCTTGGGATCATTGTAAATGAAATCAAGACACATTTCATTTTTTTTTTTTTTTTTTGGCAGTACTGGGGTTGGAACAGAGGGCCTTGTGCTTACTGGACAGGCTCTCCCACTTGAGCCATGCCTGCAGCCCTTTTTGCTTTAGTTATTTTTCAGTTAGGAACTCAAGTTTCTGCCCAGGCTGGCCTTGGTTCACAATCCTCTTCCCTACCTTCACCTTCTGAGATTACAGGCACGTATCCCTGCCCAGAGCCCACTAAATGTTAAACACTCTCCTTTGGTGTCCTGCTTTATTTTGGTATCTGGTATCAAATGTTTTTTGTTTTTTTTTTTTTAAATCTCCCAATTGTGTTCTAATTATTTCAGGAATTTAAGTCTCTCACAAAATAGTGCTGCTTCTCAAGGCCGTGACTCTGGCTTGACTTTATTTTATCATTTCTGCTGAAGCCCAAATGCTACGTACTACTTACTGATGTAACTTAGTTCTCATGGCAGAAACAATGAGCCACTGCTTCTCCCCAAATAAACAACCACACGCACACTATCTGGGCAGGATGAGGTTGCATAAAGAGATAAGGAAAAGGACACAGAAACAGAAGAGAATGAGATCTGCAGTTCTTGCCAAAATGAGAAATTAACCCAAGCTGACAAATAGCAGATTCATGCAAAGCTTAGAAGTGACAGCTGCTGAGCCATTCTCTTTCCAGCTATGAAACGCGCTCCCTGAAATCTGGGCAAATTGGCACACACAGTTGCCACATTAGCAGCTGATTATAATTAAGGATAAGCCAGTTAGGGATTCATGATATAAGCTTTACAAATATTTCCATTAATCAAGGCATCAATTATGAGGGAAATCATGCACTGATGTCAGTGAATCCTATCAAACAGAATTATGAATTAGTTTAAGGGGAGCCTTATTATCTTTTCAAAGACAACATGGTATGTGTTAATAAGGTTGCAGTTAAGAATAAAAAAGGGTGAGGAACAGGGTCTTCCCAAAGAGGGTGGACCTGCAATACTGTCTCTAAGCAGTGGGGTGGCAAAATGACCACTTCTCAAATGTGAAGCTACGTCCACAAAGGGCAAAGGAAATGAACAGTGCTGGGCACTGCTCTAGAGGCTCTTGCATGCGTCATCATGCTAAACTCTCAAGGCGATTCAGAGGCAAAGTTGTTCTCATTTTACAACTACAGAATCTGTGGCTGGGAAAGGGGACAGGGATTATGTAGGTCACCAATGAGCCCATGGAAGAACCAACTGGGCTCACACATGCCAGATGTCAGGCAGTCTTCTCACTGTGCACAGCTTTGACAGGCTGGCAGTGGAAGAGTGATGCTCGTGCTATTGGGGAAGGATGGGTGAGGCAGGGAGAGCGGTGGTCTTGGTGAGAAAGAGGACTGAACAGGGGATGGGAGGTAAGACAACAGAGGCATACTTGGCCACCCTGCAGTTTGTGACTGGCTTTGGTTGAGTGAGAGTCTGGTCATTCAGCTACTCTGGCTTTCTCCCCCACACTCCCACCAATCAATTTTCAGGGCCATTGGCTCTGAGGGAATCAAAGCGCTTTGCCATTCTAAAACACTGTGAGAAAGGTCCAGCATTGCCCAGCAGCCTACAGACACTGGACAGAGCAGGTCCAGTGTTCCCCGAGACTGAGCTTCAGGAGGATGGGGCTGAATCTTTGTTATGTCCACAGGCTCTGCAATTTGCACTTGCTCCAGAGACTGCTCTATGGTCACTGTTGCTACCTAGCCATACCCTGTCAGGTTGAGAAGGCACTTTACATCATTCCAAGCATCACCAGCTGGTGAGGCTGACTCACATGTTAGAACACGTGGTGTTCTAACTCACATGTATTTTATTTCTCTCACCCAGAGGTGAAAAGCTGCAAGGACAGAAACTGCATCCTCAAGAGCTGTGACTCAAGAACATAATAGGCATTTAATGAACAATCCCTAAAACAATAAGCAACCAAAAGTAATTTCCAGACAAGCGCTCTGTTTTCCTGGCCTATAAAATTAAAAGGACCAAAAGATTTTTTGACATAATTAAAGGACAACTCCCATGGTCAGTAAAGCATCACTGTGGCAGCTCCTGGGCAGACCTGCCTTGCTCGGTACCTCTAGACTGACAGTATAACTGATAAGCGACAGTGTAAGCTCTCCTACTACCTGCTGGCACAGAAGCTCAGTGGTCTATCCACTAGTCATGCTCATTATGTAGTGTGGACCTTGTGGCCAGCACAGAACCTGGCACTGGCAGTTAGCAAATCATGGTAGAGCCCAGATGGATGAGAGGGCTTGCTGATTGTGTTCTAGAATCAGTAATGTATTCACAATAGCATTTCAGCTAAGTGTGGGAGACAAGGACTTCCCATTTGGTGCTAAGTATTACTGCTAAGTAGCCCTGATGGATGGCATTTTGTGTTCTTTGCTAAAACTGGCATCCTATAAGCTTACAGATATAAAAAGAATATTTTATACATGAGTTAGGTGCTTGAGTTCACACTCAATTCACAAACCCTGTCCTTTGCTGGATGAAAGCTACCAACTAGGCATGGTTTGTAGATGCTGCAACATCTCTTTGAGCACATGAAATCACACGACACATGGTTGACACCTAGCCTTCCATGGAAAGGTTCTACTGTTTTCACTCTAGTTCCTTTTCAGATATGACTGTCTGAAGTAGCCTGAAGCACACAAAGAGAAAGACTAATGCTGTCATTTCAAGTAATCGACAGCAGAAAAACAGTAGCCCCAGACAGCCTCAAGATGCTGCCTCAGGGGAGATTCCTTTCCACCTCAAGGGCAGAAAGCTCCCCATTTCCTCTCCTGGTCTAGAAGAAAGATAAAGCTTTGCCACATTCTTTTCAGAAATCTTTTCCAGAGACATGTCACTTATAAAAATATTAAAATAGGGACAAGCATGTCTTTTTTCTCAATTATTTTGCAAAAGGACTCAGTAAAACAGAGCAAGTTGATAATTAGGCACAATCTGTCAAATAGAAAAATAACAGAAGTTCCTCCTTCTCTGCATTTTACACCGCAATCAACTAAAAGAGTTGTCTTGAGTTGGGCAGGCCTCCCAAGTTACCAACTTTTAGTAAAATAGGTTTCTATCCATCACAGCATGGAGCTGACCAACAATATGCTATTTAATACAACTCATTCTTACCAAAATCACAACGCTTTAAAAGTTGAGGAATTCTTAGGCACATGACTTTCAAACATTCACTTATCTATAACTACACCCACGAGGTCCACACAATTACAATCTAGTACTTCCAAATCAGGCACAGAGTCCTGAGCAGAAGGTAGAAACCTCAGATTCATGTTTCTAAGCCAACAGCCAGAATCTCGGCAATATGTCTTACAGCTACTAGAAAACAATCCATGGAATCCACCACTGATAGTTTTTTTCTATCTCTGCAAAGCAATCACACATTAGTCCTTCTAAGAGCACTTTTCCCAACAGTATCCTTTGATCTATTAAAATCATATCTTCCCCCATTTCATAAAAGTTGCTTACGTGTGGTGTGTTCCAAATGCAATATCCAACTTTGCCTAGGATGAAAAAGAAATCAAGTCATTTTTTTTGAAGCCCCAGTTAATATCCCTATCTATAGGAAAATAAATTACAAAGGGACCAAGTCAAATTTTAAAAAACAAAACAAAACTGTTTTTACTGTCCTCTATTTGACAAGCACTTGAATAAAGATAGCTTTTGTTATAGCAACAATTGAGGCTTATTAAAAAACAACAACAAAATCACATGTTTTTGTTATCCAGCAGGATTCAATATATACTGAATTTTTAATTGCAGTAATTAGGAGTAAGAAACCTAATTTCTTTAGTTGTCAAAAAACTAATAAAATAAACGTGATTCTAAGCAAAGTTTTAAAATTAGATACTTGGCTTACTATAGAAGAAACTAATATATACAGACTATGTTTAAAAGAAACACTGACTGTGGTGGCAACATAAGAGACATATGATCTTAAAATAGAAATTTTCTTGTATTGAAAAGATAAGCAATTGCTGAAAATAAAAAAATGTTAAATCTAGTTTTTATAAACAAATGGAGGGTATACAGAGAAATAAACTATTCTATCTAACATCCTGTATGGCAAGACCTTGATTAAGCAGAATACACCATAGCTGTAGGTTAGGGAAGAGTTAAAAGAAACATGAAATAGGTGAGCGATTAGGAATGAAGTACTTGGCCTCAAATCCTAGCTTCACAATTTTGTGTGACTTTGGAAAACACTTGTGCTTCTATGCCTCCGCTTTCTCTTCTTTAAAAGGGCTATTGTTATGAGATTTAGAGTTGTCAGGAGTAGATGAGGAAATGTATATAAAATGCTGAGGAGAGGTCTGCAGACAGTGAGCACTGTATGAATGGTAGCAATCACTATGACAACCTCTCTTCTACCCCACCCACTACCACACTGCAGAAGGATGGAACTATTTGCTGGGGGGCAGTAATGGGCAACTGGAATACATAAGTGGATACACTGCAGACTCTGGGGGATGCTCTTAACTGGCAGCTCAGTTGACAATATACTCTTACATGCACTATTTGGGGGTGCTCCCAGGCCAGCATGCTTTTATTTGTACACTCTAGTCACAGAAAAGAGAGGTGGGAACAATACTGCATGTCTTTAAAGTTACAAAACTAGAAGGAAGAATGTCACATTATAAACTGATACTGAGCTGAGAAAGAGCAATGGTCAAGAGAACTGGCTTTGGAGTTTAGTTTTGCTACAAGTTATATGCTTTGGGGCGTGAAAAAGGATGATACGTTGACAGATGTTTACTGGGTGCTTTGTAGAAATAATGCACCACATCCTTCAAACTCTGATGAATGGCCCGGCATTGGCAGTCCATGTTAAACATGAATTAGGCTTAAACAATTAGGTCTAAGAGACAAGACCAAAATGACAGTGATATGGACTGAACATTTGTGTCCCCCATTCAAATTCCCATCTTGAAGCCTCGATGTGACTGTATTTAGAGGGAGGGGCTTTATGGAGGTAATTAAAGTTAAATCAAGTTGTAAGAGGGACTGATTCAATACAGTGAATGCCCTTGTAAGAAGAGACACCAGAGTGCTGGTGAGGGCTTTCTCTCTCCCTCTGCCATGTAAGGACACTGTGAGAATGTTGCTATCTATAACCCAGGACAAGAGCCCTCACCAGGAACTAAAGCGAGCTGTACCTTCATCTGAAATTCTCTAGTTTCCAGAAGGGTGAGGAAAAGTACATGTTGTTTAAGCTGCCAGTCCAAATAAAGTCATCCAGGTATTTTGTTATAGTAGCAGACCCAGGCAGACTGACCTTTGACCACAATGCCTCAGTCTCTAGCCTCAGGCCCCACATTTGCGAAACAGGAGAGGTGTCAACATCCACTGATTCCTTGACTAACGTATCTCAGCTTCAGTGACCCAGTGTTACCAGAAAAATGCCAGAATTCATCTTACAGATGAATTTACAAGGTGTAAAGGTGTGTTAACAGGTCAGACTGAGGCCACAATCCTGCACTCTCACTAGAGTCAGAACTGTATCACTCTTCGCATGGCTTGGAAGAAGCGTTTCCTTATGCCCTCTAGTGGCCAGCCTGGAGCATGCTATCAGGTGCAGGGCTCTCCTAAATCTTCCTGCATAGGTGGTATTTGAAAACACTTTCTGTTTTCATTTACTTATTCACTGGCTTTCAGGATTCCTGTGACTGTTTTCTGCCCAGTTAGTCTGATGGGAGCTATCCTACTGACTTCAACTGCTTATGTTGCTTGAAAGAGAAGCAAAACAATAGGATTTTAGGCAAGTGCTCACCAAAGCCCTATCCATGTGCATAAGATGAGCCACAAACACACTGGATAGAAAGTGTGGCTTTTATTTTTGCTGGTGCTGGGGATCGAACCCAGGGTCTTCTGCATGATAGGCAAGTGCTCTACTACTGAGCTACACCCCAAGCCTGGAAGAAGGCATATTTTGACACCATAACTATACAAAGTGTAGTAAGTTAAATCAAGAAAAATGTAGAAAGGTAGGTTTAAAACTCATCAGCTGACCTCTCACATTGGTTAAATCATTTTTGAAAAAAAAATACAAACATATATAGTTGGAAGAAGAATGATAAAATGTGAATTGAAATTTTTGTATCTTGTGAGTGGGGGAAAAAAAAGACACCAGAAGGAAAATGGCAAAGAAAAGGCGTCTATACCCCAGGAACAGAAACCTTAAGAAGTCATTTTTGCTAAGCTGCTAACAGAAGAAAAAAGAACTACAAAAGGATCTCTCATTATGTTTACTCACAATGGACTGACAGTACTGCTCAAGAAGCAGGAAAAGATACCAGCTACTTCATAACCACCATTTCCACAGGAAGGAAATCATATATGCACAAAATTCTTCTCCTGAATCACTTCATCCTACTTTGCCTGCTACTTGATCCAAATGACACAGGAAATAAGAAAGCTTTTTGGGCATGGAGTATAAACCAACAGGTCATAACAAAATCTAAGATTCACTGGCCACATTGTATGCTGGCTTCAAAGTATTAGGACAAACATATGAGAACATATAAGCTCCCCCACCTTTTTGCTTTGGTTCCAGCAAAGCAGGTAGGTGTACCTTTTATGAGACCATTCAGTGCTCCTTCATTGGGTTCGGATGACATGCAGCATACAACTCACTTAAGTTTTCTAATAGGCTTTTATCTATGGGTTTCTTCAATTAGACCTTACATACAGTTGATGTGATAAAGAATTGAGGATAATGGTTAAAGTGTCAATGGTGGCTAAAAAACTTAGATAAGGTGTCAGAAAATACAATTTTGTATCACTGAACTGCAGCCAGAGGACCTGGTCAGTACTGAAAGCCAGGTTTCAAGAGGTAGGCGGACAAACTAGGTACAACCTACTGGAGTACCAGCAGTTAGGGAAGGATCTGGATCCACACTGCACTGAGCATAATTAAAGGAAATGAATGCTTAAACCTAAAAGAACTGAGGGAAACAGGTCAGATGAAACATAGGAACCACTACATGTGCAAGAATGACACATTCAAGAATGTGTGGTTCCATTCTTGAAAGAAATTAGGACCAACGTGTGAAGGATACAAGGAGGAGACTTGGGTAAAGATAAAAAAAAATCTTCCCAAGCATGGATGGTTCCCACAAATGGATTGGGCTATCTCAGGAAATGTTTAAATCAAGGCTAGACAAATATCTGTTGGTGATGTTGGAGGGAGGACTTCTGCCCTAAGTAGGAAGATGGACTAGAGGTCTAAAATTCCTTCCAACTCTTAGACTTAGCATGATGACAAGTGCCAATGGGCAGCTTACCTGGCAGAGGGAAATATTTTCATAAGGCTTTGCCTGGGCATGTAAGTGAGCCTTGGCTTCTCGTTTATCCCCATGCACAAGCAGGATGGGTTTCTTCCTGCAAAGAAATCAGAGTGTCATGAAGCTGGACTCCTGCCTGATGAGTATGCTAGCTTCCTTACCATTTGACGTTTGCTGCTGACCTTTGTGGTGACTGGGACTAACACCCTAGGAATTAACACTGAGCAGAGATCGGTAGGTATTCATTTACCAGTTCCTTTTGTGATGGGGCCACATGGTCTAAGCCTGAATCACGGCAAGATTGTGAGTCAACAAAGCCTTTTAGTATTTGTCTTCTTTGCTTTGAAAGAGCGTATAGGTAGCTCTGTGTTGATATTCTTAAGATCAGATTGATTCAAGATAGAAAGTTGTTATTGTACAGTATGATGCTTGTTTCTTCCCCTTCTTTTAGACGAAGCAATGGATTCATTTCACACTGCACCTACATTTACCAAGTTCATAGTACACGCTAGGTATAGTGTGTAAGAACCAGCATAAAAATGTGAACAGGCCAGGCATGGTGGCACTTGCATGCATATCTGTAATTCCAGCACTTGGAAGGTGGGTCTAGGAGGATCACAAGTTCAAGGCCAGACTGGGCAACATAGCAAGACCCTGTCTCAAAAAGTGAACAGAACCATGTCCACAGCATGATACAGACTTGTTAATAGGTAGTTAGGTTTCAATTAACCAAATTACATCTCAAATTTTTAAATTCTAATGGCTATAAAAAAATCCTCTTCAGGAATAGATTTAAAAGACTTTTGAGGGAGCCTTCATCTTCCCCAATTAATTCAAAGCAAAATAATCCTAAGAAATCAATAATCTTTACAAGTTCCCCCAAAACAAGAATAATAGGGATTTTCTCCAACAAGAAAGATAAATTATAGCCACTTCCTTGCCTATCAGTTACACTGCAGACTGATTCTCTATCATACATGAAGGGACAACAGTCAATGGGAAAGAAACATAGGACGTGAACTTTCAGTACTAATGTCTACCTACTTTTTGCAGAGTTAGCTTTACTGTAACGTGACAGGCAAAATAAATGTATGAAGCATACATTCCTAATTTTTTCTGTATTTGGAAACAAGTCTTACCACTAGGAAAATGGAGAAAAGACTTAAGAAACATTAATGCATCTATCACCCAGAAAAACAGAAATGTTATCAGGCCCAAAGATCATCTTAAAAATAAAAGATTAAACATTATTGATATAAAGTGAAGTCCTCATTAATTTCTTCAAGTTTATTGGTTCTGTGAACTATTGAAGAAAGGAAGCACCTGAACAAAATAGTGAGGAAAAGCCTTTACAATCCGAATTCTGGATATGACTTATAATCTGGATATGATCTACACTTGCCATTTAGGCAATTTCTCATCCTTACAATGTCTTGAAGCCTCGTTCAAGATGCATTTGACAATGAGGTGGTGGAGGGAGAGGAAAGACTTGACTAGGGTGATCGAGAGTCCGGCCAATACTATATTAGCGTGGAATGGCTGCTGTAACAAAGTGCCACACACAGAATGGCTTAAACAACACAAATCTGTTCTCACAGTTCTGGGAACAGTATTTCTGACATCAGGGTGTTGGCAGGGCTGGCTTCTTCTGAAGTCATGAGGGAGAATCTCCCCTGGCTTCTAGTAGCCTTGTGTGTTCCTTGGCTTGTAGAAGGAATGCTCTCTATGTCTTCATAGTCTCTTGTCAATGTTTCTAAAGTTTCCCTTTAGTAAGGATACCAGTCATAGTCGATTAGTGGCTCCCAACGACCTCACTGTAACTTGACTGACCACATCGTAAAATCAATCCCCAAATGCAGTCACATTCAGAGGTGAAGTACTGAGCTTAGCTTGGTACGTCAAGGAGTCTTTTTTTGGAGTAAAACAATTCATACCATAAGAGTTACTAAAGAAATGACAGTCTACACTTTGCCAACACTATGGAGGGGTTAATATTTGACTTGAGAAAAGGGAAGAAGAACAGAAAGCGCCAGTGCAACACCAGGGGCTCAATGCCAGGAGGAGCTGGTGGTGGAGTCCATATAGCCTCCAGAGAACCAGCATCTCCTAGCAAAACCCTTATTTTATGCAGGGCTAGGTGGGCTCAGCTAGAGGACAAATCCAGCCTCTCTCAGAACTGGTTAGTATTACGTGGCTGAGTTCTGCTCAACAAAACAAAAGCAAGTATTGTGTGGAACCAGCCGGACAGTGGGGCATGGCTGGAACATGAGTCCTTTCTTTCTTCTTCCTCCAGCTACCTGGAACACAGATGAGTGAGATGAATTCTGGCTGCCATCCAGGATAATGAAGGAACTCTGAAAACTGAAGTCACACACTGGGATAGTATAACAGAAAGACCGAGAAATCCTGTAGAAAAATCCTGGAGAAAACCATCCAGAACTCAATCCAGAACCAAATGTCTACCATATGGACTTCTTAGGTTGGAAAAATTAATTGCTGTTTTGTTTAAGCTATTTTTGGTATTCTGTTAACATGTAACTAAAATGAATGTTCCATGTTACAGATGAAATGTAAGCACTGAGTGTCAAAGATGCTTGGGAAACTTCAACCTTTATTGGGGTTTTTCATGTGTATGTGTCCTTCCACGTTATTTGTTGTATGGGAGTCTGTCACATTGGGCTAGAAACATAGTTGGATGCTATATTTATTTGGTCTTCATTGCCTAACATGAGGCTGATGAATGGCCAATGGCAGAACAGGAAATCCATTACCTACACTGCTTGGCTACAGAAAGGCTATGACGCCCCTTCTCAACTCCAGAACTACAGGAAGAATCACTCCAGAAACACAAGAGATCCTCAGAAAAGAACAGCATTGTCCTAAGTGAGGAGTGGCATGCTGGCCAAATGCTGGCATGTGTACAGGTCTAGACACCACGAGGGACAATTGTCTCCTTCATGTTAGCACTGGACACAAAGTCCTGCTATTTGAGCTGGAATTTGTCCGTATCTACTTCTGAACAGAGCACAAAGGAAAATGCTAAAATTTGTAGAAAAGAACGTATGTGATTAAATAGATTTGGATGATTTCAATGGTGTCAAAAAAGAGTGTATACAAAAAGAAAACCATATACAAATCTGATGTTTCAAAGCATTACAGTTTATGGTGTCCTGGTACTCAACAAACTCACCTGAACTCTGGTGGATACTGTCTTATGAGCCAGTCCACATCAAAGCAGTAGTTAAACTAGACAGAGGGAAAAGAGAATAACTAAGCCACAGGTAATTCAACTGGACAGTTCACAAGAAATTTTTCATTATTAAGTTAAAAGATACTCTAATAATGTGCTACATATATTATTCATAAACTAGTTAATTATGCTGCAATACCCATAAACTTAAAATTTATCTCAAAGGAATATGTGGCTAAAGGAACCCACATATAAATGGAGCCAAATGCACAAGAAAATAGATTCGAAGGAAATTATTTCCACATGGTTTGGCAGGTTTTGCACTTGTCAGTAGGGTTTAGATTATTTCTAATAGCCCTGAAAGTTAAATTTTAATAGCCCTGAGACTAATTTAAAGGGCTCATGAATATATCCCTTTTCCTCTATGTGATTATAAAAACATATTTACTAGAGATAAAGATCCCAGGACTTTTAGAAAAGGACATTTCCTTTTGGCCTAACTTATCAGCTAGCTTGGTTCACAGGCCTCTGGGAATGGACATTCACTTGGCTTATAATAATAATCACATCTTGACCACAGTTTCACACTGGTCTTACCTGTGTGGCTCCTTCTCATGCCTGGGCAGACTCAGGCACAGTAACTCAGTGTAGCTGAGATTACCTACAAATACACCTCACATTTCCCCTGGAGATCAGGACTCTCAGAGTCAAACCAAACCTGAAGGGGACACATGGCTTTGTTTGTTTCAGGAACAAGGCCCTTTTTTCTGACTATTCCTTGAGAATCGAGACTGTCACTGTGATTTATCAACACCAAGGGACTGGCCAGTGAGCCAGGAGTCAGTGAACATGCAGAAGCACCCATCAGTTCTACTCACTCCTTTCTGGTAGGTGCAGACCATTTCACATTTTCTAAACCAAATCAAAGTTGACTTGGCCTTCACCATTCCACCCACCCCTCACTACCGGCTGTACCAGAGTCCCATGAGATTATCCATGTCCCAAAAAGAAGTCTGCTAGATCAGAACACCAAAATTGACTTCTTGGCCAGTTTTTGTGGCCTGATCAAGAATGAGATGCATTACTGACAGTGCCATACACCCTCTCTCAATGGTCATGGATCCACAACTAGGGCACTGGTGCCAGCCTTCTAAGGCAGGTGCTATCTCAGGGACCCTGAGCAGGCAGAGACAACCATCTCAGCATGTCCTAATTTCTTATAAAGTTGTTTAATTATTTGTCTCTTTTTACCCAAATAATAAACTCACCTGTGCCGAAGAAACAAGTGTCCCAAATAGAGGAGATAAAATATCTACAAAGACAAAACATATAAATATGATTGGCACTCAGATAAAAATCCTCTAGTTATAACAATTACAACTATGTTACTTAACAGTTACTGAAAATAAAGATTTTGCTCAGAGAACAGGAAACTGAAAAGCTTCTACAATGCTAGGTTGTAATGTTTTGTAAAATTCAAAAAATATCCTGTAGGCTATTTATATTTCTTATATGTATATTCTTTTACAAAATGTAATTCAAAACTAAAATCTAAAACTTCAGAATTGGAGACTGGCCAATTTTTGTAACTGCTAACACAGTTATGATGCCTAGTCTTTCCAGGACCTCTGAATCTTCATGACCTTCAATGCCCATTGAAGCCCCAATGGTTCTCCTCTGGAGTCTCAGAGCACTGTTCCTCAATTCTAAACTCACATCCACAGTGTTCTTAGTCACCTCCAGGGAGAGCCCAATTAGCACCACCATGAAAGGAAGCATGGTGCCATCATGCTTTGACTGGAAAAGTTGACCTGCCAGTACTTCTTAGGGGCCACACATTACTCTCAGCACTAGCCCTGTAGTAAGCCTTACTCCCCCTTGGCATTTTCTGAGGTAGGGTCTGCTATTCCTCTTATCTGGATGAAGAAGGACTCTTTAAGAGGCTACTCTAGACCTCACAGCTAAGAAAGGACAGAGCTCCACCTTGCTTGTACCTATAAACTGAGGAGAAAGAACAGCCATGCTCACTGATGTGACAGAGACACTGAGTTTCTCCTCTCTTCTAGACTTTGGCCCTCTCACCAGCATCTCTTTCGAAATTCTACCCATCTTTTGAGGACCATTTGAAGTCTCCCTTCCTCCCTGAGATTATCTAGACAACCAACTAGCAGTTACAGTGTACGGTAGCATAGTCTATCAAGCCACATGGATTCGGATGCCTCAAAGCCTGGATTCAAGTTGCAGACCCACCATTTACTGCTCTGTGACCCTGGGCAGGTTATTTAACTTTTCTAAACTGCAGAATCCTCACCTGTCCAAGGAGGACTCTGGCTGGTATAAGGATTAAAATACATGGAAAAGCCTCTCTCCCATGATTTCTCTTTCTCAAATCTTGGTGTTCCTATCCAGTCTTTGTCATTTTACAGCCAAACTTCACAGTTCTCTAATTCCTGTATCTATCTCACTCAAACAAAATAAAAACACATCTATCTTATACTTCTTGAGTTCACAGCTAAGAGATTCTCAAAACAAAACCTGTAGAATTGAACTTAATACCATATGTAATTAAATTCACCAACATTTATATATCACACAGAAGTATAACACACTGTTATATATTTGTACATAAAAGCACTATTGATAGTAAACATAATCTATTCTTAAATATGAGCAAGAAAAGAAGTGAATCTGAACAAAGAGGAGCACTGTTTATTGTGTAGATCTGCCATGTGAATACTGTGCTGGTCACTTCACATACTTGCTCCAGTGTTTCTGAATCCCCAATCTAGAGATGAGTACATGGAAATCTGAGGGATGTCAGGTCCTGTCAACCATAGAGCAAATGTGGCAGCAAATCTGCCTTTGAGTATAGAGCTCCCACTATTCCCCATGTGAATATGGAAAACCACCAGAACCATCCACCTTCCACCTCATCACTGAACCATCTATCTGCACTACAGTGCTCTTCTTTGCTTTTGCCCCAGAAACCCAAACCAGGCTTTCCAACAGTGGTTCTCCAACCTGACTAGGCATTAACATCCCCTAGAGGGCTTGTGAAGGCACTCTGCAGGTCCTGATCCCCAGAGTTTCACTCAGTGAGTCTGGGGTGAAGCTGAGAATTTGAATTTTCAACAATTCCAGGTGATTCTGATGTGGTTCATCCAGAAATCACAGACAACTACTGTCGTCAGGTTTGTGCTATTTTGTTAAGGAAGTGGTATTGGTTAACTGTAATCTTTACCTTAAGAGCTAAATAATTCTAAACAGTGGTAAGGATTGCCGGGGGCTGAGCTAAAGGGTCTTGAGAAATACCCTCTGAAACATCATCAGTCCTGAGTAAACAGTTTGCTGTCAAATTCATGCACTTGCTTGTCAAAAAGAACCCTGAGCTGGGTGCTCATGATCACACCTATAATCTTAACTACTTGGGAGCTGAGTTTGGAAAGATTACAGTTCTTGGCCAGCCCAGACAAATATTTCATGAGAATCTATCTCAACCACTATCTGGGCACAATGGTGCACGCCTATCATTCTAAGCTATGCTAGAGGTTGAGATAGGGAGGATGTCAGTTTCAGACCAGTAAGAACTCTCATCTTAATAGAAAAAATAAAAAATACAAAACAAAACAAAACTGGTCGTGGTGGCACATGCCTGTCATCCCAGCTATGGCAGGAAGTGTAAAATAGAAGGTCTAGGCTGGCCTGGGCAAAAAGCGAGACCCTATCTCAAATTAACCAAAGCAAAAAGGGCTGGAGGTGTGGCTCAACTGGTAGAGCACCTGCCTAGCAAGTGCAAAGCTCTGAGCTCAAAACTCAAGTACTGTCAAAAAATAAAAGAAACCCTTGCCCAAAGCACAGGTTTCTTGGAGATCATTCCAGACTGCCCTCTTTGATTTGATTTACAGAGGGGAATGCTTTGCTCTCAAGTGTGACTCAACAGTGCCTGAACACCATGCATCCTTACCCTTGATGTGAAGGGCTTTGGAGTTGTACTTTGGCTTAATTCCTGAGACTCTAGTGAGGTAAAATTGGAAGGGGTTCCCTTTATCCAGCATGTCCCAAATGTCCTGACCTTCCCCTGACGTCTCATACTCATCTTCCTCCTCCTTGAGCCTATGACTGGCAGGAGGGCCAAGGTCTGAAGCTTGTTGGGCAGCACCAGCTTCTGGTAAGACAATGTCTTTTTCCTCTTTGACCACCATGCTCTCAGCCTGCTCCTGCCGCAGTTCGTCATCACTGCTGGACAGACACCAGCCTAGATCTTCCTGGGAGCCACTTTTCTGCTTCTTTGGAGGTGAAATTGAATCTGTGTTGCTGAATTTCACAGGTGAGATCTGTCTCCTGTGTGCAGCTTTCCGAGCCTCAGAACAGGTATATTTTGGCTCCTTTTCAGCTCCCTGCTCAGCATGGGGGAAAGAAGACGTAGATGGCTTGTCCAGTTTGGGTTTTTCATCCTCACTTTCATCACTGCTAGATATTGTCCACTTTCCATAACTGCCTTCCAGAGACATTATACTTCTAGAAAGGAAAGATGGAAATATTTCCCATTGAGTAGGCCATTGGCAAAATAACTGTTCCTCTCAAACTTCTATCAGATGAGCTTCTGAACCACATGCAGTACTTTGACACCTATCACAGTCTGAGCCACAGTTTATTACCAGAATCTGCTACAAGCATTTGACAAATTAACAGCAAAGATCCTAGCCATCTTCTCCTTCTCTCCCTTCATCGTTCCATCTATATCTTGTAATTAGATGTCCTAGGAGAGGAGGGTTGAGTCAAATTCCAAAACAAAATGTTCTTTCTTAACCCTGAAACATCAATGGGTTGCTTCAGGGTTAAGGCCAATTTAAGGAATTCTCAGAGTATCTAACCATGCTCAATTTTTTTTTTCTTTTCCTTTTTGAGACAGGATCTTACTGTGTGTGTAGCTCAATCTGATGAATCTCAAACTCAAGATGCTCCTGCCTCAGCCTCCAAAATGCTGGGATTGCAGGTATGCACCACAATGCTCAGCTCATGCTCAAATTTTTAAGGTCAAATTGGAGTTTATAAATCTATCCTTCACTCAAGCACAGGCACCCACAACACTTCAATGATTATGTAATCACATTTTCCCAAAGATAAGCCACTTACCATAAGCTGAACAAAGCCCTCATGAGAAGTGCCAAATGACCACTTCTGTATATATATGGTAAGTACTTTCACAAGCATCCAACTAACTTGAGAAAATTATCTTATTGGCCATGGAATAAATCACACTACTAAAACCTGCAAAGAACTTGTACTGAAGTAAAACACTTTTACCTTCTAAACCACAGTTAGTCTAATTTCTACTGTCTTGCTCTCAGAAGAGAGAAATATGTGAAATGTTACCTACAAAAATGTGGTCAATTCAATTGTAAAGGGTTAAGTAGATTTTCCAGATTGCTAAAGAACAGTTCCTTGCTGTGACACCATTAACAGGTTAGTATAAGACCCAGAGGACAATTATAAAACAGAACCTGTGCTCAGACTGTTAGGATACCTTCCAGATTTGCTGCATTTGAAAGTGGCTGAGCAAGATACATTATGAGCGAGGCAAAACAAGACAGACTAGGCTACTCTATTCACAGAATATACGCTCCTCTGGGGGAAAAAAAAAGGGTGGAAGGCAGCAACTGGGGGCTGCAACTCAGGCCTGTGATCCTAGCTACTTGGGAGACTGAGATCAGAAGAATCATGGTTCAAGACCAGCCCAGGCAAGTAGTTTTGTTAATGGAAAACCAGTCCCCTGGCTTCAATGCCAATTCACAATTTATAAATAACAAGGACAGCAGGGTTTTGAAGGAAAGGAAGTAAGGTTTATTATTCTTCAGATGAAAAGGAGGACTGGGAGAGTCAACCTTTCAAATCACTGTTGTCCCCCTTCTGAGAAAAAAATGTCCACCTTTTAAAGGGGAGTTTAGGGGCTCAGCTTGACTGCGTGACCAGAAGCATGTTCACCATGGCTGCTGACCTTGATTTGCCAGGTGTCCCATGCCATTTCTCTGAAGCTGTATGTCTTGGTTGGTAGGTTTACTGTTCTAGTGGTAAGAGATAAGGAGTAGAAAACTGTCTGATCTAATTAAAGAGCAAAGGGAGTTAACCTTGGATTCTCCAGTATGTAGACAAAGAAGGAAAAAATGTTAGTTTAATCAACAAGCAGAGTAAACTGGCCAGCATGCAAGCTGGCTGTACAAAACCTTTTTCCTTTCTGTGGTCCCAGTTACATCTTCCACCATCAGTTTATTCCTTCCATTTCCATGGAAAAGAGGCATTATAATCATCTAACTGTTCCTGTCTTTAGTTCATTCCTGGGCCCAAGTAAGGAGTCAGTGCTCCCCAGCAAAAGCCGCTTTTAAACCCCTGTTATAGTCTGAAACCCACCTCCCTCCCCGCCCAATCTCCAAAATAACCACAGCAAAATGGACTGCAGATGTGGCTCAAGCAGAAGAGTGCCTGCTTTGCAAGTGCAAAACCCTCAGTTCCGAAAGGGGAAAAAAAAGGTGGGGATTTGACTCAGTATCAAAAATTTTCAAATGAATACACATGCATGTTTTAAGCTAAAAAAAACCTTTGATAGTTACAAAACTTTATCAACTGATAACCTTTAATCGATAGTTACTGAACTTTATCAACTGATAAAGTTTGACTGTCAGTCAAACCCAATGAGGTTTCTTCTGTAAGTTACACATTTCAAGGAGCTTTTAGTTGAGTGCATGAAGACATATCCTTCATGGCTCAAGATATGCAACTATGAGTCACAAATGGCCTGGACATCATTTTACAGCCAAATCCCTGGAGATCACAGAGGTGCATGGGACCTCCTGCTCCTGCAATTGGAGAGCCTAGACTCTGTGTAGGAGTTGTGAGTCCCCCTTTTCTAAATGTTTTCTAAATGTTAACTTCTTTTCTGTCCAGCTGGCTTCTGCAGGCTGTGAGAACTCTTAGTGCAGGAATTTTCCTAAATTTTTCTAATCTACAGTTCTGAAGCTGCTAGTATAGTTAACAGTGTCTGAATGCCAGGTTTTCTCCATGAGAGACTCAGCATGATTTGTTACTTAACACCTACTTAAGCAGTTCAAATCTGTTTTTTAAAAACTTATTTTTTTTTTTTTAATTTAGGCTCCCCTAGGGTTCTAGACTCGGGAAGACTGCCGGGTAGACATTTTTAAGCTGTTACAATTCACTCTGAAGGAACTAATTTAGTGGCTACAGTTTTGAGATTTCTAAAAAAAAAAAAAAAAAATTACTTAAGAACAAAGGAACCACTTAAGGAAAAAATAGTCTGAATGGTAGCTCTAGATTCCTTTGAATTCTATTAAGAGTCCTCAGGTTGGGCTGGGAGTACAGCTGGGTGGTAGAGCGCATGCCTAACCATGCAGTAGACCCTGTGTTTCAAACCCAGCACCACCATCACAGAGAAAACAACTGCAAGTCCTCAAGCTCTTCTCCTTAAATTCATTCCCCATTCTAAAGCAAACAGTAGCTCAGAGCCTTGCTTGAGAAATGGTTCAGCATCCAGCCTGAGAAAGGGACCTTTGCAGGTTTTTGTTTATTTTATTTACTTTTTTGAGAGTGTCTTGCTATGTAGCTGAGTCTCCTACTTCAGTGTCCTGAGAATTCTAGGACTATAGGCGTGTATCACCATGCCTAGAATTTTTTCTAGTGTTTTTTTTTAAATGTATGAAACGTTTCACAAATTTACATGTCATCTTTTCGCAGAGGCCATGCTAATTTGTGTGTCATCCAGATTTTGGTTGCATATGTGCTGCTGCAGAGAGGAGTCTCAGAATTTTAAACTGTCATCCCTTCCCCAGGTGAATATAAATACTACAGCCTGTATCAATAAAACAGAATCTGCAAACCTTGAGAACTCTGGGAAATGTCTTGAGTGGCTGTGAACTACTTAGAAAATTTCTCAAATTTTTAGCTTTATCTACATTTTCTAGAATTACCTGGGGGTGATGTTCCTGTCAATAAAGTAAGACAAGAAGGTAAAAATAAATAAGTAAGTAAATGAAGTTGGAAAAGTCACACTTTTAGTAGGTGGTGTCAAAAGAATGAGTTATGATACAGGTGGCCGTCTCTGCGTCCCAGCACTCAGAGCAGCACAGTGTTGCTCACCCACAGTAGAGGTGAATGTGACCTGACAAGGATTAACTTCACATCATAAAAGTATCTCCTTTTCCCATGCTAACCTAATCTCTTCTTAAATCAAGGAGAAAGCTTAGTGTTGTGGAAATGCTTTTAACTTTGTTTCTGAACAAATGGCAGGCTCTTCTGCAAGCACTGCAACACTTTTGTTTGCCATCAGCAGAAGGTAGCTTACGGCTCCGTTATAATTACAACAGCAAAATAAAGTTTAATTTTTAAAAGACATTGTTTAGGCCAGGCATGGCAGCTCTGTAATCCTAGCTACTCAGGAGGTAGAGATCTGGAGGATGACCCCTTTGAGGCCGACCAAGGCAAAAAGTTATCAAGACCCTTTCTCAACCAATAAAATGCTGGATGTGATGGCACGCACCTGTCAGCCCAGCTCCTCTGGAAGCCTAAACAGAAGGATCGCAGTCCAGGCTGGCCCAGGCAAGCCTGGCAGGATTCAACCCCCAGTACCACAAAAACAGAAACAACAACAAAAACAGAATAGTGTTTATGTAAAAAGTGGATTCAAATAAAAGTAGTAAATAATAGCATGTATGTTAAGAGAATAAGGCAAAAACTGGGGAGAAGGCTGGTGAAAAATTTGGCATTAATAAGGTTAAAATGTATTGAAATTTTCCCACCAAATGAGGACTCAGAATGTTGTCAGAGCTTTGCTTAAGAACTTTGAAAAAAAAAAATACTATGGATGCAAAGGAGCACTTCATTTAGAGCTGCAAGCACATCCTCTCCCCCTTTTAGTAGGCCCAGTGGACATTTCCTCCACACCTTCAACTGCTGCTTCTCAGAGTTTGAAGACCATCAGGTGGGTCGGGGCACCAGGATCCTCAGTTCAAATTCTGTGCCACGTAGAGAGCAAACATGGGCCCAAATCTCAAGCCCAGTTAGTCATTACTAGATGGTCACTGTGCACTTGAGCAGCTTAACTGCTGAACCTCAGCTTCCTCATCTATAAAATGGGTACCATGCTTACCTCCAGAGTCCATGCATTTAACACACACTGAGCAGCTAATATGAACTAAGAGCTGCAAATAAGGACTTAATATGATGTTTCTGCCCTAGTGGAGCTTAATATCAGGATGGAAGAGACAGATTAACACATAGAAATGTTAAAAAGTCAAGATAATTACAGACACTCATTACATTTTTATAGGGATTACCTTAGTTTTGAATAATCTCTGAAGTAACAGGTGAGACCTGGAGGGTGAAAAGGAATCAGCAGGCTAAGAGATGAGGTGAAGAGCATTCCAGGTTAGAAGGCACCTAAGTCGTAAGGTCCAGGTGGGAACGAGGTCGCTAATAACTGCAAGAGCAGATAGATAGGTCTAAGTGGTCCAGGATGAAGGGTGGGAGGGGGTCAGGCAGATTAGAGTCACTGGATTTTATTCTAAGAACACAGGGGCCCCACTGAGGGTTTTAATGAGGGGAGTTACCTTGGCTTGATTTACTTTTCAAAGGTTATGTTCGCTACAACTGCCGGTAGACAAAATTCTGGGTGCGGAGGCTACTGCAGGGGTTGGGGGTCGTGATGCTGCAGTAGGTGCGCATCGGGCGAAGAGCGCCGATTCGAGGTACGCTAAGTAAGCAGTGTGAGCTAACTTTTCTGTGCTCTCCCTTCGGGCCAAGCACAATCCGAAGCGCTTTAGCGGGTACAGACTTACTTCGTCCTCACTACAACTCTATACCTCGGACCTGAATGCCAGGGACATAGCGAACACTTAACCACTGTGACACCCACCTACTAAACGCTGAAAGCGACACGGAGCAGGTGGCCCTCCCGCCGGCGCTCTGCAGCGCACCCCCTAAGAGGCGCTGTGACTGCAGGAAAGCGAGGCCAGAGGCGGAGAGGACTCTGCCCCTGCACCCCGGCCATGCCGCTTCCATCGCGGTCTGTCTCCAGTCCCCTGACCATCCACAGAGCCGCCAGACCCCCACGGCCCGCGAGCCACCATCACCAGCAGCGCAGGAAGCCAGCATAGACACGTACCTGGCACGCGAGTCATCCACCACCCGGCCACGCCCCTGCGCCGCCCTGCGCGTGCGCGCAGTTCAAACCCGCCGTCCGCGCGCGCCCCTCCGCCTTACCGGGAGTCCGCCCCTGGGTCTTAAAGACCGCCGGATAGTGCGGGTGAGGGACGAGGGAGAGGGAGAATGGTGAGTGAGGGTGGGGGACAGCCAGGTGCATCCGCCAAAGGTCACCGTTGGGAGAACTGGCTCCTCGCTCTCGGCTCACCTACTGGTGACTTCTAAAAGAGGGAGAAATAGGAAGTTGTTTCCTAGCTTCTCTCAGTTAATTGGCAAAGCTAATAACCCCTTTATAGGGGTGCCCATAGACAGCCTCAGGCTCCCAGGGCTGAGACAGGGGTGTGATTTTGAAAGATAATATCATTATTTTATTATTATTATTTTGGTACTGGGGTTTGAACTTAGGACCTCACGCTTGCTAAGCAGGCACTCTACTGCTTGAGCCATTCCTCCAGCCCACTGAAAGGCAAGCTTAAGGAGCTGCGGACTAAGACCTGTGTGAAAGGGCCTCGGCTGGGGCGCAGATTTTAAATCTGCGTAAAACCGGAAATTAAATGAGTTCGCATGACTCGGACCCTCGAATTCCTGTTTCTCCTTTGAAATAGGTGTGTGTTCTTCTTAATCTTACTGATTTTCCAGAAAAACAGAGGGGTGTGATATAAGCCCCTCTGGAAAACATATTCCTCGCCTTTTATAAGGATGTTTGCTAGGGAATTTGGGCTCGATAACTGTGTACACTATTCATTCCTTCAGTCTCCTTCAAACCAGTCATTTCCAGAAGGTTGAACAAATAAACGTCCCAACGACTATTTTCCTTGGACAATTCAAAGTCTACTCTGTGTTAGCCAAACGGCGAAGGTTATCCGGAGGACAAAACAGACTTGGTTGGTACTGTCCTGAAAACTCCATCCCATTGCCTGCCAACTCCAAAGTGAATCCCAGACTTGGCTCGACTTGTTTGGGTCTCTTCCTGCTTTGTTCACAACCTTTGTGTTTCTATAATGTCTAAAATTGACTATTTTAGACATTATAGAAACACAGTCATGGGCCAAAATAATAAAAAGGAATTTATTGCAAGGTGGGCCAAAAGAATGAAAGAGATCACATACCCAGACACGCTGGAAAAGCACCTAATTGCACTGCATTCCCAGTCGCGCGCCAGGAGTTAAGGGAACAGGTGGGGCGGGCCTGGGAACCTTCTCGCCCCCGGCTGGTCCAAGGAAACGTCGCTGAACAAAGTCTTTGGCCAATGGCACTGCCGGATCAACGCTTGTGGCTCGCAGACCGCCCAATGGGAGGAGACATTGGAGTTGCGCGGCGAAGTTCGGCTTCCTGGGCCGCGGTGGGCGTGGCCTCTGTGGGCGTGGCTACGGCAGGCAGTGTGCTTGGCTCTGGCAGGAGAAGTACGGGACTCTGCTTCGAGTCCGTTTATCCTGGTGGCGATGTTTTCCTCCCAGGCTGGAGCCCGGCCGCGGTCCTGGGAAGCCAGCCCGTCGGAAAACAAGAAATGGGTGGAAGTAGGTGTCGGGAAGTTTTGGACTTCAACTTGACCCGAGGCTCCTCTTTGACCACGCTAGGGTCTCACTCAGTGGGATTAAGTAGACACCTGGACGGTCCTAAAAAGGGTCACGGTTAAGGCCAAGCCTGTAGATGTAGACTCCTGGCTCCCGTCCGGAGTTTTAGCTACTTGCAAGTTCTTTTTCCTCCCCACCTCCCAACGTAGATAAATTTCATCTTTGGGTAAATTTTAGTCCAGCATTAAGATTTCTCGAGAATTAAAATTAGGAGAACGAAACTCCATTTTTCGAGCCCCACCTTCTGAACTGAGAGATTTTCGAGGTCTATATTCGATGTAAACTAGTAGTAATATAAGAGAACAGTTTCTGGTTTCTGTCCGACTAACTGAAGATATTTAATATTCTTTAGGTATTTAAAACATGTGATGACGGTAACAAAGGCTATCTAAGCAGAGAGGACTTTAAAGTTGCTGTTGTAATGCTGTTTGGGTACAAGCCCTCTAAGGTAGAGCTTTTGTTTCTTTTCTTTTTTAAGTTTTTGGGAATGGGGTAGATAATGCAGTATGACTGGATCCTAAGAAAATTGCCCTACAGCTAGCTTAGGATGTTTATAAGGGCAAATCGCTGATTTATTTACAAGCTATTTCCGAGGTGTTTCCAGTGCTGAATTTTCTCTTCTGTTAAGGATCCCAGGGATAATTAGAAGTCTGCTTTGCCGTGCCAGATGCTAACAATTATGATATGGCAGAGAAATGTCAAGAAGGAAGACTGGGAAGGGGATTTGGTACCAGGGAGGAGTCACCTAGGAGGTGACACACACAGTCCTCCCTTTAAATTCTTTTTGCTTTGTTTAATCCCTTCCCTTTCTACTAGACAATCCTATTTCTCATTACCATTATCTACCAGTTTCCTGTGTATTGTTCCAAAATTTCTCATCCGTGATAAATGTATATGCATATTTGGTATATTGAAAACATTAGGTGAATACTGTGCTACTGTATTTGAACACACTTTTTCCACTTAACAATACATCAACCGAAAAGCACACACCCTTACCACATATTTTTAAAAAAAGAAAAACTTGCATAGTGTTCTCTTTAGCTAGTGTCAAGGTTTTTTTTGTTGTTATTTAGGGTTTTCAGTGTTTTAAATTCCTACAAACTGATGCAATGAGCATCCTTTCATATCTAAATGCATACACAATTAGATTTGTGTTCTTGTGACTATATCTTTGAATAAATTCCTAGAAGTATAATCTCAGCACTGAAGTTGAGACAGGAGGATTGCTTGTTCATGGGCAGCCTGGGCTACATGCCAAGACCTTGTCTCAAACAAAAAATTCCTAAAGTATAACTGCTAAGTACCAGGATATGCACATTTGAAATTTTGTTGGATGTTGCTTTCCAGAAAAGGTTGCACCAATTCACCAATAATGAACATTGAGGCTTAACAAATCTACTTCAGTATGTCATTTCCTACAGACCCCTATCCTTGCTCATCTCTGCCTGTCTGTTACATGCATTCTAGAGATGGACCCCTTCTTGTTAAGGTGCTGAACTGGAGCTAATCAGAGTCAAGGTGTTGTCCAAACTCAAGAAAGTAACTGCAATCATGCAAAGGCAGCAGAGCTCTGCCAGGAATGCTTTCCCTCCTTAACCCACAGTCATCTCACCTGGAGTTCCAAAGCAGAGCACCTGAAAAGACTCAGCCTTTCAATCGTTGTATTTAACCTGGGTTCACCTGCAAAGATATTGTGTCTTGTTTTGCCTTCATTACCCTTTATTTCCTTTTAAGAATATGTGAGGAATTTAATGACAGGTACAGTGATGTAATAACACACTGTAAAATTCTCCATGAATTTTAACAGATTTTAAATTTCCATATTGGATTGAGGTTTTAGATTTTATTTTTCAGACAAAATATTTAATTGATTACAGATCACTAAATAGTAAAGTGCTAACGGTGAATCTCCTGTGTAATTGTTGTCATTTGTACAATGAACTTTTATGAAAATAGGTGACACTAGTGTATACCTTCCATGAAATTTAATAGATTTAAAATTTTATACTGGGTTTTATACTGAGAGAGTTTAATTTTTGAACATCACTTTTGAAAAAAATGACATACTGCAAGTCAGTAAATTAGATAGTATATTTAAATTTTTCTACCATTGAAAATTAATGTTTGAAAGTGTTATTGTGAAAAGTTATTTTAGCAGCCATACCATAATACTATAGCGTGATTTCAAAAAAAAATGCACTTATACAGGGCTGAGGCTTTAGCTCTAGGATAGAGCACTTAGAGTATGCAGGAGACCTCTGGTTTGATCCAGCACCACAAAATAATAAAAAGCACCTTACAGGGCTGATGGAGTGGCTCAAGTGGTAAAGTGCCTGTCTAGCAAGCCTAACAAGTATGAGGCTCTGAGTTCAAACCCCAGTACTGCAAAAAAAAGCATTTTGTAATAAATCATTTATATACTCATGCAGTTGTTTACACAATGAAATTTATGAAGTGCCCCTGTTTAATAAAAGGAATGTTTATTTGCTAGTTGCTAGGGATGTAAAAGTGATTGAAACACAGACCCTACTTTGGAACAGTTTGCAGTTTAGACAGACTTGTAAAACTCTTGTGATAAGAAAGTTAAGAAGAGGTTTAAGGCTGGAAAGAGAAGGGACCAAAATGGGAGGGCCTAACTCTAGAGGGAGTCTGGTGTCATTTAGACTAAAGAAGCAAGAGTACTGTGATATGAAGTCTTTAGGAACACTTTGTGGGCAGCAGGATAAGCTATGCCCTGGTGATTGAGTGGATATGGTGGTGGTAAAAGAGTGGCCCAATCACTGGACTGGTGGAATTATGATGCCACCCAGCAAGAGAAAATTCAGGTGGAGCCGGTTCAGGGACAGCAGTGCACATTGAGTTTGGGGCATTCCAGATGCATTTGTTTATCAGATACTATGCTGGGTACTGAGATTTTGGTGGCAAAAGCTCTCAGATTTTACCATCTCTTAGAAATAGCAACTGAAATTGGGTGGGGAGGTGCTGGCTGGAGATACATTTGGGACTCCTCTGTTTATAGGGGACTGCTCAAAATGCAAGAGTAGATGGCATTCCCAGGAAGGTTTTGCAGAGTGAAAGAGCAGTAGAGAACATGAGGGAAGCCAAGAAGGCAAGGGACTCTATGAAGAAGATGGAGTAGGGACTGTTAAGGAGGGACAAGAGTGACCAGGAAAGCACAGAAAATCCATGATGGTGAAGAATTTAAGACTGATGGTGGAGAAAGTGTGTCAGATGCTGTCAAAGCTCTGATTCTGTAATGTTTAAAAAGCCCTTGTAATGAGGGGGAAAATTCTTCTATGTTAATATTTAGTGAAAGCAGGTCCCCAAACTTTACATGCTGTATATTTGCAAGTGTTTTAAATTGCATAGAGGGGAAAAAACTGGACTAGATCAAAATGTTAACAGTGGTTTTCATTGGATGGCTGGGGTTTTCTTCTTCATTTGCATTTTTCATTTTTCTACATCAATCATGTGTTACTTTTAGAATCAGAAAAAATAAAAATAAAGCCATAGAGTCCATTGTAACGATTGTTTTGTCTGAAGCAGAAAGGTTACCTTTTAGTTTATGATCTATACAGGACAGCCAAATTGATTTTATGTGTGTAAACTGTATTGGTGGATTGAATAAAGTTTGGGAGCCATTAGAATTCCTAGCTGATTAGTGTCTGGTATCTTACAGATGTTGATGGAAAAGTAAAGTGACTGATCTAGCTGTTGAGAGACATTACATGTCTGCTGGGTTCAATAAAATTGTTTTCTCATAAAATACATTCCTTCTCTTACCCCAGGAATTAAATACTTGTGTGTGAAAACATTTGATAAAATTACATATCCTATCCTTTTCCTCTTTTCCAGATAGAAGCGGATTCTGTGATGTCTTCAATAAATCCCAACACTTCTGGTAAAATGAAAGCTAATATTAATTTGTATTAATATTGCCATTATTTAGGCAGTCTCAAAACTAAGAACATCGTAATTAAGAACATCGAGAGTATGCATTATGTTTAAGTACATCTTTTTATTTCTCATGCAAAAGAAAGGTTTTGATTCTTTTTAATTTTGGTTAATTAAGTTTATAGTAGGAAATTTTAAACAATTGAAAAGCCTAAAGACAAAAATGACACTCATATCTTTAGCATCTAGGGGATGATTCTGGGTTTTCTTACTGGAGCAGCTGGATGAATGAAAGTGGCTGTTACTCAAATGGAAAGACTGGGGAGATTGAGGATGGGGAAGGCAAAGAATCTAATTTTGTGTATGTTTTCAGTTTCAGAAGTTTGAATCTATTATGTCATAGTAATACGACTGTGTTAACATGGAACTCAGAAAAGCTCTCAGGTCATCAGCCTGAGGATGGTTTTTAGATCATGGACTGGATGAGACCACCTAGGGAGCAGAGTGGACTGAGAACCATAGGAACTATAATAGGAGTGAGGTAGAGGGTAAAGAAAAGGCAAAGGAGATGAAGGACTCACTGAGGAACACAGGGAAAAACAAGTGTCTGATCAAAAGCCAAGAGAAGTGGGTACTCTGATAAAAAGAGTGTGGTCAGCATTACCAAGTGCTATTAAAAAGTCAGAGAGCATAAGAACTGAGGAGTGTCCACTGGAGTTGTCAAGCTGGAGGTGTTTGTGACTTTAGCAAGAGGAGTTTCAATGTGAAAGATTAAACTCAATCATATTAATTTCTCATTACATGAAAATGATGGAACAAAATGTTCTCAACTGCCCAGTTAAAAGGCAGATATTGTCAGATTGGTTAAAAAAGGAAGACCTTACTCTGTTGTTTACAAGAGCCCACTTTAAAAACAAAGGCATAAAGAAGTTAAAAGGATAAAAAAATATATTGTATTAATGCTAACAAAAAGAAAGCTAATGTGGGTATATTAATATCACATGAAGGAGACTTCAGAAGAAGGAATGTTACCAGGGATAAGGAGAATCATTTCAAAGTGAAAAAAGTCAATTCAACATCACATTTATACCCCAATGATGAAAATTCGGAATATGTGAAACAAACAAACAAAAAAAAAACCCGATAAAACTGAAAAGGAAAACTGACAAATATACAATGACGGGGAGATTCCAACATTCCTAGCAAAAATAAAGCAAGTAGACATAACATCAATAAAGCTATAGGAGACTTGGACAATGCTATCAACCATCTTGACCTATTTGTCACCTATAGAGCATTCCATTCAACAACAGAGCACACGTTCTTTTCAAGTTCACACAGTATGTCTAATAAGATCATAATCTGGGGCATTATCTGTTAGCACATCTCAAAGTGTGCTCTTTGTGATGGAATTGTACTAGGAATCAATAGCAAAGTATGTCTGGAAAAGTCTCAGATATTTGGAAACTAGTACATTTTACATAACTCAGTCAAAGAAAAATCAAAAGGAAAAAATTAGAAAATATTTAGACTTAAATGAAAAGACATTTAAAATTTTGTGATATGCATGGAAAATAGCAGGAGCATGAAATTCCTATGTTAGAAAAGAAGGTAGGTCTCAACTTGGTGATCTCATCTTCTGTCTTTAGTTAACTACAGAAAGGAGGGCTGGACTGGAGACATAACTAAGTGATGGACTGTATGCTTACTGTGTGAGGCCCTCAGATTCACAGCAGGTGTGTGCGAGAAAAGAGCTTAGATGAGGCCCAAAAATAAGTAGAAGGAAGAAAATGACAGAGATTACAGTGAAAATCAATGAGATTGAAAGAAGAAAGTCAGTGAAGAAAATAAGAGCTGGGGTTTTTTTTGTTTTGTTTTGTTTTTTTGTAAATCAGTAAAACTGAGAAAAAAAATAGGGAGAAAAAAGAAAACACAAATTACCAGGGTCAAGAATATTACTGCGGATTCCACAATTGCTTAAAGGATAATGAGGGTTCATTATGAACAAGCTTATGTCAGCAATGTAACAACTTAGATGAAATGGCAGCTTCCTTGAAAGATAAAAAGCTTACTCAAGAAGAAATAGGTAATTAAAGAAACGAATTTTTAGTAAAAACACTTCTGCAAAGGAAACTAGGCCCTTTTGGCTTTACTGGAGAATCCTACCAAATGTTAAAGGAAGAATAATAGTAATTCTATAAACTCTTCTAAAACCTTGGATTCTTATTATCTGCCCCCTCCTTTCTAAGCATTTATTAAATCTGAATGGTATTTCTTTGGGTATTTGTTATATTTTTCTCTTTATTTTTGCATATTGTGAAATTTTACTTTCAAAAATATTGAAAAATATAAAAATATTTTCTATACACAACACTTTTTTTTTGTAGTGTAGAGTAGTTATAGAAATTATGGTTTCTTTCAGCTGTATAGACTTTTTTGTGTTTGTGATTCTGGGGCTTGAACCCAGGAGATTGCCCATACTAGGCAAGCAGTCTTCCACTTGAGCCATGCTCTCAGCCCTACTTAGACTTGTTTTTCAAAAATTGTGGATCTTATTTTGGCAAATTGTATGTAAATACTAGTTTCACAGACTGCATTCCTGATAGATTATTAAAAACTTAACATCAACCTTGTCTTCTTTACTGAATGGACATTTCACTTACTAAGCCAAATCCATTTTTTAAGGATATGTGGAGTTTTTAATATTATTTTCTCTATTGCAGGATGCTTGAAATTTCCCCCAGCATAATTTTATTATTATTATTATTATATATTAGTTGTACAGGGGAATACCTTGTGATATTTACATATGTGCTTATAACATATCTTAGATTTACCTCCTCCATCCTCCCTCCCTTCTTAGAATAATTTCAATAGGTTTCATTCTTTTATTTTCATATTTGGATATAAAATACATCCATCATATTCACCCTCATTCACCTTTTCCTTATGCCCTCCCACTAGTACCTATCTCTGGAAAAGCCAAATCCATTTTTATTGATTGATTGATTGATTGATTGATCTCAGTGTTGAGGATCAAACTCTTGCTAAGCAAGTGCTGTTCCATTGGTCTACATTCCTAGCCCTTCCAAATTACTTTTATATTGCAGAAAACGTGGTATGACATTCCTAATCTTCTTAATTATTATTATTTATTAAATATTATTTAAGAATAATATTATTAAACATTATTTCATGTATATCAGATGGCAAAATATGTAAGTGGTATTTAGATTGAAAATCTGTTATTTTTTCATATACAAGGTTAGATATCCCACATGAAATGTGACTTTCAGAATAATAGTATTACTAGAAGAACAGGGTTTTTTTTTTTTTTGCATAATCCCTAATCAAGTTTCCCAGGCTTTTAATTACCCATTGAAATTTGCACACTTCCAAAATATTAAAATATTATTTCTTTGATGTCCAATTAGTTACAATGTCTTGGTGAAACCTTTCCTACAGTTTTTTTTAGCGTTTCTATAAAAAGTTTTGTCTTTTGGCCAAAGTATTTCCTGAATTGTCTGTGCTTATAAGGTTTCTCGGTTTTCAGAGTCCTCTGACAATCAGTGAGGTGTTCTGTTTGGACAGAGATCTTTCCCCATTTGTTATATTTGTGTGGTATTCCTCTGTTACATAACTTTTCTGATAATGTCAAGTATAGCTGTTGCAAGAAGGCACCTTAACATTCATTATTCACATACATTTTCTTATGTACTCTGATTTTGAACTAAGGATTTGACTTTACACTGAAAGATTTTCTTTCCTTAACTCTGAAGGAGTTAATGCTGAAGGTTCATTTTTCCTTCCTTAGTTCTCTGATGCATAGAGAGTTCTGGAAGGGAGATTTCCTATAGTCTTTGTCTGTATAATGAGTTCTCTGGTGTAAAGATTGACTTCAGTGGAACTTTCCTCACATTCAGTACATTTATGGGTCTCCTCTTCATAAGTAGCTTCCCATATTTAGAAGACATGACTTCATGAAAAGGTTTTCTCACATGTATTGGGTTTGTAGGGTTTCACTCCTGTATAAGGACTGGAGTGCATATCAAAGGGTCAATTCTGGCAGGTTTTCTACCTTCATTCCATTCTAAAAGCTTCTCTTGTGTGAGTGCTCTGACATAAAGTAAGGGTGGTTTGTGGTAAATGGGTATCCAGGTATGGCATGGATAATTTCTTCCCCTGTGGTTTTTATTCCCTGATGTTCGAGAGAGGCTTGACTTGTAGCTGAACATAACTTATGTTCAAGAAATTTATAAAACCACCTCTCCTTTATGAGTTCTGTATTGCTTCAGTTTTGCCTTTGTGCAGAAATATCACTCCTATGTGCTGTAGTCATGAACCTTTGTTTTGAGATGAGTTCCAACACGCAGACAAGGGCACTCTACATTCAGTACATTCACATGGTGTCTCCCATGCCTGATTCTCTTGTATATAACAAATTCTGCCTTATTATGGAACATTTTTCTCAAACTCATTATGGCCAAAGGATTTCTTCACCTGGAATTTCTCAATACTAAAAAGTCTTCCCTATGACTCGGGGCTTTCTAACTTTGATCATCTGTTTGGGGACCTGTTCTATGCATTTAATATCAAAGGATGACTCTCACATCCATTTCTCAATCAAATCATTAGGATGCTTCCTTTCACAGCATATATTCTTAATAGTTAATTTAAAAATATATTTCAAAAAGTTGAAAGTAAATTAGTCATATGAGAAATTCAGGGAATTATCAGAGGAAGGATTGGTTTGGAGGAATGAGATCAAATGCAGGTGATTTGCACCTTATTCCAAAATGTCTGTGAAAGGACCTGATTTCGTGTTCAAGCTTCCAGTCTTTTTCTTCCTTCTTCCAGTCTTGATATTGATACCAAATTAACTTTCTTAAAGCTTCACTTTCTTTAGGATTTAAAGGACAGGCAGGCACTAACTCTTCAAGTAACTTCAATTTATGTTTACTTGAGTGGGGAGGCTCAAGATCACAAACATCCAAGTGAAACAATGAA